TTCCCCAGTTGAATTATTTCCTGTGATGGATTTTTTCATGAGGAGCCGCGATTCATCTGGCAATTATGGTTAGCAAAGTGGCAATGAACCCTGATGAAACTGTGGCGAGCAGTGATGAGTGTGGTTCTCTTAATGAGAGTACTGCAATGTGCAGTTACGCACTCACTGGAACTGAAGCCGCTTTTGGAAAATGAGCAATGAGTTCTCTTGTGAATTAAGTTATTTAGATTGCTATGCGCCAATCAAATGCACCTACCCAAGACAAAGCCCGGATTCCGCTCATGGATTTTAGTGGCTCAGATGCACTTATGCTATATATAAGTTATAAGTTCTGAACTTAATAGAAGAGGCAAAAACACCGTAAATGCTAGTGTTTTGGGCTAGGTCTCACATGCCTTGGTGACTCCATTGATAGGACAAGGATAACAGGAAGAAATGCAAGTGCGGACCAGGGGGGTGTGACCATATACACATATGTCGCCCGCCGAAGATTTGGACCAGTTGTGTGGAAGAAGTGTTTGATGTTGAAGCTTTGGTCTCGACAGGTTTAGGTGACCACGGAATCAACGCCCTCTATTCTTCTTCATGGCTCGGAAAGCCAAGGTTTCACCGCTACTCTACTCTCTAGGCTGAACTCTGTGCCGTTTAAGTGGCTTCGGCAAACATGTGATATTCTCTTTTCTATCACAAAGTACTGGAACCCTCGAAGGATCAGTGCTGCAATGAGTTTTTGCTGTGAATAGCCGAGGAGCACGTCCACCAGGTCATGTCCTGGCCCAGACTTGTGATGGGCCCTTACCAGTGGCATTTGTTCAGGTTTGGAGGTAATGCAGCCACCCCATTTTTCCGGAAACAGCCACCTTGCAATCGCGAAGAGTTTTTGCGAATCGAGAATGGCACATCGCAGAAATCCACTGACATGAGCTCACATGGCATCTTCTACACACATCACCTGACAGCCGTTCACGCAGAAACAAGCTTGCATGTCAAGCCAAATCTGAAGTCACCGGCTGGAGCTGAATTGATTGAGGGCTGCCATGCAGCACCACAAGGTTGGAGCAAGCTGGGGCCAAATCAACTCCACAGCTGCTTGGCCGTCTTGGCCATTGGCTGGGCCAATCATAGCCTGACTCTACATTGTGCGCAGGATAGCGTAGATTCTGGAGCTGAGCTGGATGAGTGGGAGGCCGGGACATGAGACGTGCGACCTCTTCCGATTTACCAAGCAAAGCCTGCAGAAGGAGATGTATCGGAAAAGAGAGGTTCAGAAAGCACGGAGGGAGGCAAAGGCTCGGAAGGCAGGCTGAACTCAGCTTTTCAGTGCTGTCAGACTATTAGTTACTGTTAGTTGTGGCATTTAGGTGCAAGAGGCGCAGACTGCGCTGGTGAAGCGCCTCATCGAGGGCATTTACAAGGAGAGTAGATGGGACTTCTTTGTTTGCTGCGTCTTGGGCTTCAGAGGAGCAGGGGCGGAACCATGGCCGGCCAGTCTTCCGGAAGTCTTTGGGGCAAGGTGAGCAGCATGAGCAGCAGAGCAGGAGGATAAGATGAATGCAGCTGCCGCAAGGAGAGAGCGTGGCCATCTACTACTGGGATGAGAAGGAGAGCTCTTCAAAAAAGAGTTTCAGCCTTTGCTCGAAGCTGCTTGAAGCCTTGAGGATGGCGCAGATTGCAGCTCGGCATAGTTCGGCCAAATCCAGAGACAGCAACCTTTGGTGGCCGTCCCGTGCCTGTCAGGGTAGTTGTGTTCGGCTGTGTGCAGGCGATGGATGGTGGATCGGCGCGGAGGTGGGTGGCGACATGGCCAGGGGCCTCAAGTCCCTTCCAGAAAGGCTGTGGTGCAGTTGGTGCAGTCTGTATTTGCAAGGTCTTTGCCTTCAACGTCAACCAAGCATCAATGCTTCCACCATCCACGGGCTGGAGGTTTCCCCTGCGAGGTCCCCTGGACCGCTCTCTGCGCATCATTCAAGGCCGCCGGACACAAAAGCCATGGAAGCACGGCAGAGCATCAGACGTCAGAGTGTGCACTTGAAGTGTTTTACGCTTGACGTGCACCTTGTGCAGGAGGCAATGAATCTCTCAAGATCCAGTTCACGTGAGCGGTGGGTCCTTCGGAGACGAGGTTTCGGAGTTCGTGAAGTTGGCCAGGCAGTGCTTCCTAGCAGACTTTAATGTTTCACCTGAAGCAGCTTGTTTGAGCAGCAATGCAAAAACATTATCTCAAGTGTCGGCACTTTGCGGATGTGCACCTTGCGGGATTCGCTTGCGGCCTGCTTTGTGTGTTTGGCTAAAGCCTCCAAATGAATTTTGCAGCAGTGCAGAGTTCGCCTCATGCGGCCGAGCCAAGCTCTAATTTCCTCCCGTGGAGGAAAAGGGGGAAGAAACCAGGAAATAAGGGGGAAGGATTTCACATGTCAGAGCCTCTGCCGCCTGCGGGGCGAGCTTTCATCGAAGCTTTCACCAGACACCAGATGGCGATGGCTTACGAAGCCGCAGTAACGCACGCTCCAGGACAATGCCCTGCGTGAACATCTGGTGTGAGTTGTGTTCCTTTCGCGGCCCTGGTGTGCTCGGAAGTGACGAGAAACTTTAGGTGGATGAGAATGATGAGGACAAGGACACCTAGGTAAGTGAAACCTGCCTGGGTGAACGACACTCTTCTAAGGAGGCGGCCGCTGCGCTTTGCGCTGCGCTTCATGCTGCATATCATGCTGCGCCAGAGCTAAAGACTCGAAGTTGTAAGGCTGTTGCACTATCAGAGGGGCGTGTGGGGGTCTCCCTGCTTGCCTCAGCTCAAGTCGTCTCAAGCAGATCAGAAATGCATAGGTAGTCTAAGGAGATGACACAGTGAGCCCGCAAAAAGCTGAGCGAAGCAAAGACTGCGAACATCCGCTCAATCTGAACTCAATCCCAGCGCAATCCGAGCGCAATCCGAGCTCTGAGCGCTCTCCTAGCTCTGCCATGGCCCACTTTCCGAACCTTTCTCGTGCCACGGAGGAGGCAGCTTCACACAGCTTTCCCATTCTTTCTCAATCAGTGCATGCATTGAAGCTTGCTGAGGTCTTCCGAACCTATTTCGCTTTGACGCAGGCGAGCTTCGGGCTGCGATTGGGGCTGTGCTATGCCTTGCTATGCCTGTGGAGGCAGCCAGTGAGAGCTTGGCTACAGAGGTGGAGGCAGTGACAAGGCGATGAGCATCTGCGATGTGCGCAGATGTTGCTGTGGACAGCTCAACACTGCTCTAAGGATTCAGAGCGTCTTCCGTGCCTCCAAGATTCGGCGGAGTGCTGATGCCCAGCATTTGCTCTAAGTGTCCTGTAGAACAGCATTGTGATTCGTCGTGCTGCGCTTTAAGTACGTATGATCTCTCGCTGACTGTGTGCTCTTTTGGCTTAGGCTGGCGCGCCGTCGTGGGGGCCACGCTGATGATCCAGGAATCTGAAAAGTTGAGCTTCGAATCCCGTATCAGTACGGTATCAGTGTCTTTGCGGCTTTGGTGTGCCTTTGAAACCCTGTGCTAGCGCGCGGTCCGTGGCTGGTCTGGACGGCGGAAAGCGCGCAGTCTCCGCTTCCAGCGCCTTAGGCAATTGGGGAAGGAAGAAGTTGAAAGTACAGATGGTCCTTCCGTCAGGCATCTCCAGAACCTGTTTTTCAAGCAGTCTGCTGCCTCATACTTGGAGTCAGACCTCCCTCTCCCTGAGAGAGTGGACTGCTGAGATTTGCAGGTCGTGATCCAGCGCTTCTTCCGCGGCTGGTGGAGCCGGAGGTTCTCGAAGTCGAGCTTGTGTTGGTTTATGCAGAAACCTGGCAAGTGATTCGCCTTCAGGCATTTGCATGATTTCCAGGGGAGGAAGAGGCCCCCATCCTGCCGTGCTTGGCCATGCAGAGGCCTGTCTGTTGCTCTCAGGTACATAGGCAGGTGCGCGCAGCGCGGCGAGTGGACCCACACGTGCGCTTCGGGCATTCCCTGCATTCGCATGAAATTGCATGAGCTCGTGGAGTGTCAGGTATTTAGCTCACGAGCACCGGGCCGGAAGCTTGTCCTGCAAGTTGAAGTCCATAGACGGTGGGGAGCAGATGTTGAGGAGCGGCTGGCACTGGCCAAAATGGAGGAGGAACAACAGATGAGGCGAAGGGTGCAGCGTTTGAGTGTTTGCGCAGCAATCGCTAAGAGAGGCGTGAGTTTCGAGCTGTTGCGGGAGAGATCCACCACCTGGCGGGCCCTGAAGCTTTAGGACTTTCACTTTGAGTCCCCCTTGTTTGTGCACACAAAAACACACGGCTGTCTGGAGGTCAGCACCAAAAGTGTTCCAGGCCCAGCAAGCAATGCTCAGTTCGGTGCTTAAGAGAAACCCCATGAGTCTGCGACACGGAGGTGTGTACAATCCGCCCTACAACGACCACCTCCCCCGCGCCTTCGACAAGCCGATCGAGCTCGGAGCCGCAGAGTGCCAGAAACGCCCCCTCCAAGAAAAGCCAAACCCCTCCAACTGCAAGCAACTGCAAGGCAGCACTTGCGAGAGTCTTTGCGGGTGCATCTGCCCATGTCCGGTTTCTCGGTCTTCTCAAAGCGGCATCCTTTCACCAATCTTTCACTTCTTTCACTTGCAAAGGGAGAAGTCCTAGGTCCATGCGCCGGCCTCGGCGTGTGCACACGGAGGACCAATCCATGCAGACACAAAAAGGCTGGTGTTGACGCAAAGAAATTGCAGGCAAGCAGGCCGCAGCTGCAGCCACAGGGTGCCCGCATGGGAGGCCGCGGCACCTCAAGTTCCACTCAGGGGTCTCAAATTCACAAGCATTCTTTTCTTCCGCAGTTTCGCAAGCTGAGCAGATGGCCGGTCCGCGGCTCACGGCGCCTGTGGAACATCTACACATTCTACTTCAGTAAGCAGCTTGCTTCCCGCGCAGACCTGGCAGTATCCGGGCCACCACAAGAGCTGCCAGACCGTGTGCCGTGTGCTTCCAGGCCTCTCGCAACAGCATCGTAAAATGGCTTGCGGCATTGCTCATGAGGACAGCTAGCACGGGCCGATGCCAGCGGGTTCAAGGTCCTTTCAGGCCAGGGCGAACAGAAAACACAAGGAAAAACACAAAAAGGAAGTGGTTTTGGAGGTCACTGGGAAACTCGAACAGTATTGAACTTGCACTACATCATCATTTTTTCTTGAGGTCACGGGAGCAGATCGAGGTCGCCAATGTGAAGGCTGCCAACCTCTACAAGTCAGTGCAGGTGCCTGCTTTGCTGATAGTAGAGCAGCATGCAGCGGATTCGGCATAGTGCAGGCAGAGGGCAGCAGGGCAGCATGTGAATGCGACATGCTCCAAAGGCCTCCTCGCCTTATGACGCTGTAGAACGCGACCAGAAGATGCAGAACAAGCCGCGCTCTGCGCAGCGTCGCCGGCTGAGCGCTGGGGTCTGTAGCCGAGGTTGACGAAGATGCTGCGCACCTCGCCGGAAGACTTCTTGGCGCCTGGGCGTGCGGCTGAGCGCCCGCCACCTGCCAGCGTTCACACGCCAGAAGCTCAGAAGCGCAGCAGCCAAAGCAGAGGGCCAACTTGAAGGGACCCGCTGTGTTCGCTGCATCCGATATCATCCGATATCATCTGCTCGTTCGGTGGTGGGCAGGTCGGTGCCGTACCTGGAGCGCCCCTTTCAGCTGCGCAATGCCCGCGACTTTGAAGGGTTTCCAAGCTAAACTGAAGGCTTAAAACGTCTGCTCCGCTATTCCGCTCTGAGGACTATCTGGAGCTTCCCAAGATCAGGCTTCTGTTCTGCTTCTCCTTCGCTTAACACGAGTAGGACCTGGTAGGACTCAGGACCTAACGTGACAACTTGCAAGTTTGTTGAACATTACTGCCATGGAAGTGTAACAGTACAGCAGTGGAAGAGCATGTGCACAGAAGCATTTGGATGCCTGCACAACATGTAGGCTCAGGAGTAGACAGCAAAGGACAGAAAAGAACTCAGCTGCCCAGCAAAGGAAAAAAGAGTGCTGGCAGTTGGAGATTTTTGTCATGGTAGCGGAGCTCCACCAGGACCTCTGGCGAGCGATGACCATGTGGTTGGTTCAGGACTTTCCTGTTGGTGGCAAGTTTGGTTGTCAGCCATCAGCTGGAACTGTTGGCAATTTGCGAAGAGACAGGAAATGAGGAAAGAGGGAGGCAACGATGTGCACTACCTGCCTGAATCGGCAAATTGTTGTCAGGCATGGAAAAAGATATGACAAGAAAACCTGTGAGCATGTCACAAAGAGCGCCGTGCTCCATGTGGCAGAAGTCAAGAATTGCCTGCCTTGCAAGGTGTGCTTGCCGGAAAACTACACGGCGGAGACAACTGTGAAAAGGAAACTGGCTGGCTTCGACTACTGCTTTCGCGGCAGGAATATGGGCTGGCCTGGTCCATAGCCCACGAGATACCGGAACCTCTTACCACGACCACCACCACCACAGCTACGGACAGGTTTCCCGAGGTTTGGGGCGTCCGAGGGCCGATATCGGCCCTGGAGGACCTTTGGCTGTCTCCGGCCTGGTTCATGCGAGCGTTCACCGACTTGCCCCGCAACCAGACTGAGACTCGCGAACGTCCATCTCGTGGAGAAAAGACGGCCAGAGACGGTCCTCCTCATTCTTGGTTCTTGAGACATACCCTTGGGTGCCTACGACGCTTCTTAGAGGTTGCTGCCGGTCGGAATAGTTGGGATATTCCTCCTTCAGCTCGTCGTTTGGGGTTACACATAGGTCGTGTATCCTTTATGGTCTGCAAAGGGGAAACGCCCTGGAGCGATGTCACCTGCCTCCTTGGGGATAGGCCGTTCAGGCCTAAGTGGAAGGGGCCTGCGACCGGGACTCCGTGGTGTGCAGCTGAATGCAAAAAAGTGCATTTATGCTCTCTGCCAGGTGACTGTGGTTGGTAGGGTTTGCTCGGTCGAAGGATGTAACAACGGGGTGGGAAGCAACCGTAATGGGATATACGCTTCTGCAAGCTTCACGCTGTTAAGAAAGAGAAAGGATATGCCAGGGTGCCCAAACAGCAGAGCAAACCTCCGGCGTCCATCCCCGGCCACAGGGGGCCAGGAATCTTCAAGAGACGGTGGTTGAAGCCGCGTGTGCAAAGCGGCTCTAGCTGCAGTCCTCCGTAGGCTGCTCAGGAAACCTTGCAAGATGCCCTTGCGGGAGCTTGGGCCAACGAGATCGGCGCGCCGCCGTCCCAGGAAGAGCGCGCAAAGTTCCCGCAAGAGATGAGAAAGGAAGGAGTCGCGTGTCAGGCTTCGGGCAGGTTCCAGAACCAAACCAACCTGCCAAGCTTTTAAGGTCTTGCTTAAGGATGAAGCCGTGGCCCTCTCGATCAGCTGGTGGAAGAGTATTCGCGCCGAAACCAGCTGGGACAAGGCAAGGCCGAAGCCCCTCAAGCCCAGCTAACCTGGTGAGGGTTCCTCGATTCCAAGGGCTTTTCCGGTCTCGGAGGTCGAAACGCCAGCTCCGACTGCGAACCTTTGGCGCACGCGCGGTAGAGCCAGAGCTAACTCCCCTCAATAGGAGGTGTCTGTGTGTGTGTACACTTTGTGGCCTATGCCTTTCTTACCTTTTTGCAGGGTCGCAGGGGGGGTGGCCCCTTCCCTCCTAGTCATGCCAACGAAGCTACGGAGCTTTGGTGGATAGAAGTGTAGACGTACATTTCTGTTCCTGCAAAAGGTCGGCATGGGTAACTTCGGGCGCAGCTTGTGACCACGATTTGTTTTCCCATACATACAGTTTTCTGGGCGCGTGAGCATGACATGTGGTCCTTTTGCGACACATGATGGAAGCCGTCTCAAAGCAAAGATTTTCAGCCGTGACTTGGTTTCAGCCGTGAGTTGGTTTGAGCCGTGACTTGGTTCTACGCAGCCCATGCAGTTCTTGCCGCACGTATTCTGTTGCTTGATTCGAACACGCGGTGCATACATGCCTTGACAGTGCGGACATGTCAGTACATGCGTTCCCTGATTATTTGATTATTGTAGCAGGAACATGTCGCTGCCACTATTCTCTTCTTACGATTCCCATTCTTATTACCACGTGCCGGAGCCCTTTAGTTAGGACCTCGATCGATCGCTCGCTCGTTCGAAAGTCAAGGGCTAACCCCCTTGCTAGGACGTCAGGGGTCACTCCCGCCATACATATACATTGTGTTCACATGAAGTTGTCAAAGCCGCAATGTGATCATCCATGAACCAGCGTAAAGGAATTTTGAATTTTGATGCAGGGGGCACCTGGGGCCTGAAAAGGTCAGGTGCCAACGAAGACACTTCTTCAGAGCTTGTTATATCAGTTTTGGACGCAGAACAGACGTACCTGCAAAGACCACCCCTGTGTGGCAGATTAGAAAGACCGCTCCTGTGCGGGAGATTAGACAGGTAGTTTCTCTCCTATGGAATGTTCCTTGTTATTTGGCTCAAGGCACCCCTTAGTGGTTGAAGTATGTAGAGACATATTTGGCCCTGCCATCGTACATGGACATTCCTCAATTGCTGAGCTGAGTTGTGAGTTACCAGATTCGAGTCAAAAGAACGTTTGAGCGTCGGTTTGCTGGGAAGTGATATTGATCCAACCAGTTGACCTTTTACAGGTTAGCAGCCGTAACAGCTGTTGACTCAGCAAGAATGTTATCAGTGGATGGCAGTTCTGGATCCGCGAGTACGAATCAGACAGCGACCTTCGGGTATACCCCAAGTGATACTGCAGAAGAGGCCTTGGCCG